CAAATATTTAAGTAAACCAAGTGTAGAAGGTAGTGATTCTAGAAAATTTTTACTTAAATCCAAAGCCTGTAGGTATTTATATTTCTCACCAATCCATTCTGGTATATGTGTTAATTCATTAGATGCTAGTTTTAAATCAGCAATCGTGGCTATCATACACAATTGATCAGGTAACTCAGAAAGTTTATTTCTACTTAAATCCACTGTGCTTACATCAGCTTTGCATGCATTCTCCAACACTTCGTGTGGCAATTCAATAAGGTTTTGTCCAGCCAAACTAAGCAGCTTTGTACTTTGCATTGTATATCTAAAATACCAGAAATTATTTGAAAGTAACTCTGCCAAAAGTAATTCACTTTGACTCAAACTTGGAAGTGTATACATACTTATCTGGATATATACTTGGATTGTCATCTGTTATCACACATTCTTTTGTACTTAAGTTACTTGTACTTTTAATACTTTGTCGTATGTGCTTTAAAATTCTAGGTGTACCACATCTTATTATATCAGCTCTTATATTTTGTACATCATTTCCATCAATCACAAATTGTTTCAAATTGGGCATTATACCAACTTGGCTTGGTACTCTATAAAGGAAACATTATCATTTTAAAAATGCTTTCTTGAAATATAGTAATAATAATATATTTCAAGTAACATACATAGTTAATTTGTTGTGTGACAGATCAAAAATTTCTAAATATACAAGTTTCATTATTTCCTCTGGTATTGTTTCAATTTTATTATTGCCTAATGTTAAAACTTTTAATCGTCCTACACCTTCCAAACAAGACATGTCAATTTCCTAGAAAATATGGTGGTTAATTATTGAAAATTTGACACCACCAATAACCTGAGATCAGTATATATTAGTACATACTGTAATATTATTATCAGCCAAATGTAGTACTCTCAATAATGTACAACCAGATATATCAGGAAATGTTATTAATTTGTTAGTTTGCAACATCATTGTTTCTACCTTTCTCAATTCACCCAGAGGTGGTAACACTTCCAATTGATTACAACTTGCATCCAACTTTTTTAATGCTATTTTCAAAAGAATATTAGAAATTTTTATTAAATTTTTGTGTTATACAAGAAGAAACAGTGTGAAGCTATTTTTGTTTTAGTAAGATTTCTGTTACATTAAATCATACCTCTCATATTTGTTAAATCTGGTGGTAATTCTATTAACATATTGTGACTTAAATCCAAAGATTTCAATCTCACTAAATATCCCATTCCCACTGGTAATTCAGATAAATTATTGTAGGATAGATCCTAAATATAAGAAATATGTTTAAAATGTGGATGTACAGAAATATAATACCAAATAATATGTTATAAGTTACCAAATGAGTTAACATAATTAAGTCTCCAACTGCTGGATCGAGTATATTTATGCTATTATTTTTCAAGCATAACTCCTGAAGTTCATTCAGTTTGTAAAATTGGGATGGCAATTGTTTCAACTTATTATTTGATAAATTTAGTATTTTTAATTTGTTTAAATTTCCAATTTCAGAAGGTAAATCCTCTAACAAATTATCATGTAGCTATAAAAAGGAACTTAAGTTAATTAAGTATTTATTTCATGGTACTACATTTAATGTTTTGTAGTTACTTTAATACTTACAAGTAATGTGGTCAGCTCTGATAAACATTCTATTTTGGAATCAATTATTGCCAAGCTATTAAAGCTTAAGTCTAATGTCTTAAGTGGTTCTTGCTCCCACCATCGCTCACTTTCATGTACATAATCAAGTTCATAATGTAGATCTCTTACTTCTTGATCAGTTAATTCATTTATACTCCATACTCTGTCAGGTACTATAATAAGTTTAACTGATTTTAATATTTCATAAAATTTGTAGTCATTTTATTGTGAACATTGATATGTATCAAACATAATTCTTTTACAACTTACCTTATATCCCATATCTAATAATTTTGCATGATATCAAATATTGTTTGCTCTATTGCATTATACACAGTCTAACATGCAAAGCTAGCTATGGATGAAAATAAAAAAAAAATAAATTCATGACTATAAAATGTGTTGTATAAAATATTTATTTAATGAATAGAATGACATGCTACATTTAATAAAAGCACGTAAAAATACAAGAAATGATATGAATATCTTTTCATGTTTTAACATTGCATTTTTTAATAATAATAGAACTATCAATGATACAATGTTGTTGATAAACTTGAAGTCAAGGATGCAAATTTGTCTGTTATGGTGGATTAATCTTTCTATATATTTAACTTCCAAGAATTTATTCCTGTTACAATATTATTACTAAAACAAATAATAAAATTATGTGTAAATATATCTAAGATTCTAATTGTGATTCATGAAGTAATGTAATATCTCAATATATATTTAAAAATTTTCTTTTACCTTAAGTACTAAACACTTTGTACTCTTCTTATGAATGCTGAAATAATATAAATCAAAAATAAAAAACAATAATGGAATACGAATATGAACAGCATGCACATTGATTCATATCAGAGTGCAACATCAAGGTATCAAGCATTCAAACGAGTTCAAAATCAGTGTAAATAACATTGAATAGAATTTCATGTTTAAATATTGCGTGTACCCGTAAACAATCCTCTCGATGAGAGGTTTAAATTTCCAGTTTTTCTCGCAGATATAATAGTAACCTCAGACATTTCCGCATTGTCATCAGTTTTCGTTCGTTGCTTAAATATTGCTAAATGATCGACTTTCTTTTTAGCATCACTCATATTGTTCTTAGTGGACACATAATTCATAGGAATTTCATGATATAATGTTGTCGCTAGTGCATGGTGTTATATATATGGGGGCGGAATCGGCGGTTTCGATCCATTTGTGTAGGAGGCTGGAAGGAAGTGTTGGGAAGTGTAAAGTTGAAAGAATTGTTAAATTATGACAGTAAATCAAATAGTAATTCAATATTTTAATTAAAACAGTATACAATTCGTAGCTTCTACAGGTATAACGTAGACATTTTAAATTTTTAACGCTGTAACCTCAAGATTAATCTACTATAATGAAGCGTTAAAATTCTTTAAATTATTGTTGATCACATCTCTGATAGTGATATAATATTTATGTTTAAATATTTAGCTCTTTAATAAAGTATTAATTGATTATGTCTACGTATTTATTGAATTTCATTATGTCAAAGAAGCACTTGTTTTTAATTATATTTATGCTGAGTCAAGTTAGCAGTGAACAAGAAGATGATCATGTGCACACTGTACAATATACCAAAGATAATTTTTCAACAGAAATTAAAAAGAAAAATCACTTTGTTATGTTTTATGCACCTTGGTATGTTTAATATGTTTTATATGTATATATGATATAAAAAAACTTTGAAGTAATAAATGTTTTTAAATATTGTGTACTATACATGTAATTTATATATTTTTTAATTTATAAGGAATATTTCGTTTTTTGATAGGTGTGGCCATTGTCAAAGACTTGAACCTACTTGGGAGCAATTAGCAGAAATATCAAATGAGGATGATAATAATATAAAAATTGCTAAAGTAGATTGTACTATTGATAGCACTTTATGTACTGAACATGATGTTACTGGTTATCCTACGTATGTGTAATATAAAATTATTACATACAATTGTTTTAGCAGTATAAAACATTGAAATGTGTCTTTATAAAAATAAGTAAATTTTGATATTAATAATGTTTCAGGCTAAAATTTTTTAAAGCTGGAGAAAGCAGAGGTACCAAGTTCAGAGGTACAAGAGATTTGCCATCTCTAATTTCTTTTCTTAATGATCAATTAGGAACCACTCTTGGGGTAATTATCAAGTTTGTGGTCACATCTGTCTGTAGCTAATTCATTTTATGTACTTTCTATTTCTTTAATATAGAGTAATGATGTTGCACCATCTCCTCCTGAAGCAGTCAATGGTTTGTTGGAATTAACAGAGGATACTTTTGATATACATGTATCCACTGGTTATCATTTTATAAAATTTTATGCCCCTTGGTGTGGTCATTGTCAAAAATTAGCACCTACTTGGGAGGAGTTAGCTAATAGTTTGCGTAATAATAATTATGTTAGCATTTCCAAAGTGGATTGTACACAACACCGTAATGTCTGTAGACAGTTTGACATAAAAGGGTATCCAACATTACTTTGGATAGAAGATGGAAAGAAGGTGAGGCTTACATTTTCTTTTAGAAATTTTCTATTGCATCTAAGCATATTTTGATGTTCAAATATAACCACTCAGGTAGATAAATATTCAGGACAACGTACTCACGAGGAGTTGAAGGCCTATGTATCGAAAATGCTCGGAAAGGAGAATGATCAAATTAATGTTAAAGTTGATAATTCAGATAGTGCATCTCATACTGTACTACTTAGCTTAACTGGTGAGAGTTTCAAACACGGTATTGAAAACGGCATTTCGTTTGTCAAATTTTTTGCACCTTGGTGCGGACACTGTAAACGTTTAGCGCCAATTTGGGAAGATCTCGGAAAGAAGTTTCTGACAAACGAAGATGTGCATATAATCAAAGTAGATTGCACTCTCGATGCAAGTAAAGAATTGTGCAATGAACAGGAAGTAGATGGTTTTCCAACTTTATATTTATATCGTGATGGACTTAAAGTTGCCGAATATAATGGTGCTCGTAACTTGGATGATCTCTACGAGTTTGTAGAAAGTTACTTGCAGCCGCACGATGAACTATAATTACGTACTTTCCTCGTGATTAATTTAACTTTAAAGCAATACATATAATTTTAAGATCTTTTTAAATATAAATGTGTAATACTTAACTAAATTATACATGTACGGTATATTATATAAAGAAACCCCGAAGTAATCCAGGTCATATATTTTTCATTTTTGTATAAAATATCAAAACAAAAACATTATAAAATTACTATATTTTTGCGTGAACCAATCATGTACTTCCAAAATATATTTATAAAACCATTCGTATTCATCTGAATATCTCTTTTGTATTGTATATCATACCTCCTTGAAAAATGATTAAAATCCTGAAAGAGCCGCGGCCGAAGGATAAAACGAACGCAACATTTGTCCACGTTCTTTATCTATATACAACGTTTTACGTTTCACGATTATTTCTCGTTCAAGATCGCTTCTCGCTTTAACTAAGCCCGCTTGAGTCTCCTCGGCTCGTTTTAATTCTGCTAGCATAGCCGATGTGCGTTCATTAAGCAATTTCACTTCATCTACGAGACTAAACAAAACGTATCTTGTCAAGTTTCTTACGTACGTTTCGTTTTTTCTCATACGATTAGATATGTTAGTACATACGCGAATTGAGGAGTGTCTCGACAGCTTTCCACGTTACGTCGTTGTAATCTGTTCGCTAATCGGGTCTGTGCTACCTTCATGGCGCAATCTAATCCTCGTGTTGAACGACGAAGCTCTTCTATCGCTTTTTCCGTATTTGCCAATTCGTACAAACACTGAAAAACAGAGAATTTCTCTCTTGTATCGTAATGTACCTATGGAGAAAAGCTAAACTTACATGAAGTAATTCCTTTTCTAATTGTTGACACACTTCCTCCGTAAGTTTAATCTTTTCACCTAGAGCTACATCTACACGAGTCGCTTGATCTCGTAGATCTTTTATCGAATTCTTGTATATAGCATCCAAGGTGGATCTTAAGTTTATAGATCTCTGTCTGGCTGTTTCTCCCTGGGATAAACTTTCTCGAGTGAAATGTTCATAACTCGAAGGTGTCGATTGTCTATTGAACAGATTTTATAAAATATATTTCTAATAAAGTTTCTTGATGAATTAATGGTGATACGCACTCTCCTGGAAATCTCGTGGCTCCGGGTTTCCATAATATGAGAGGAGAGTCATTTTTCAGTTTGATACATTCAGCGTCGATATCATAAGCATCAGTTTTATCGGTCCAATCGACTTCTAATCTGACTTTAGCTGCTTTTAATTCAGTTAATTGCATTTCTATTTGGTCCCGGGTTCTACCAAGCAAATCACGTATTTCTGAACAAAGGGCTACTTCCTACGATAATAATTCGTCAATAATTATTAGGCTGTTGCACATGAAAGGTGTGGGATTTAAATATTTATTAACTTTTGTAAGTTCCTCTTCAACTTCATCGCGAATAAGGTCAGATTCCAATCGCTTGGAGCGCAATTGTAAAAATTCTCCAGCGATTGATTCAGGAATGGTGAGGACCGATAAAGATTGCTTTACTCGTCGATGTTCAGCCTCCAATGATTCTATCTCTTCCGTGATATCTTTTAACACGTGTTCCAGATCGATTTTCCAACGATACACCAACCCTGCTCGAGTTTTCAAATGATCCGTCGATTGGAGTTGAATTTTATCCGCTTCTCTGTATGATTGATCGACACAGCGCCTCGCTTTGCTTATAGCAAGTCTAAATGAAAGGAAAGCTGCTCTTGTTTCACACTTCTTAGGACTAAATTGTTACAAAATTTGTCATAAAGGGATAGGGCTCGTTTACGCACTGTGCATCCTGAATTTTTTCGTTCGATTGTTGAAAGAATCTCATATTATTAGCTCTCCATTGGGGTGCTCCAAATTGAGTTATCGAATATCGGTCGGCAACAGGTCTAACTCCTGTTAAACCATCTTCCGGAGTATATTTTACGCGACCTGTTGCCCATGGACCAATTGCATCCATCTGTGCATCCAGTTTTGCCGGAAGTTCATCTCCTGGTTGAGGAAGATAAGGGGGTGGTTTTTCTGCTGCATTGTCTGTAGATTCCATCATCGGGCATGGTATAGCTCGCTATGTGGAAATTTATTTAAAGAAATATTGCTCTTATACATTAGTAGCAATTATATTTGTTTGATAAATGAATGTACCGTATCACCGCCTCCATTATTAGAAGTTTCTTGCAACGTTTCTCTAGCAGAATCTTGTTTAATATCCATGAGAAGTATTTTTTTATTAAACAGTTCAGAAAAGCGAAACTTATCGAAAGCACAATAAATTTTTCGTCTTTTTTGTAATTACGAACGATATTCGCAATCTGACAATCCGTGCATGAGATTTATCGATTTAACAACTCGTCGCACCTATAAATTCCTATCTAAAAGTTATCTTTCGCGATAATGAATAGGGCAGACTAATAGCTACTTTCAGATTGAAATATCTGTTTGAAAAAATTAATTTTTTATGATATAGATAATAAGAGAGGTATAGTTAAGACGGGTATAGTTCGTAATATATTGTTTTTAATTTTACATTTCACTTTCACATATTACTTAATAAGATGATATTGTAAAAAAACTTAATTTTTTAATCATATAATTTATTTGATATATTTATTAGAACAGTACTATACAAATTAGCTACATGCCAACTAATATATCTGATATATCAGATATATCTGCTTTGGTTCAAGGAACAAAAAGATATAAATCCACTAGTGTATATGAAACCTCATGTATTTTGTACATATACAGAAATCCTATTTATCATTCATTCATCTGGAGGAATTCCTAACTCTTCATCAGTCCAATCATCTGGATGTGGATACTCAAATTCTCCCTAAATATATAAAAAGTAAATTATATAATCTATTGTAGCTTAGAATGTAAATAAAAAATGATTGTTACTTACAAAAACATGGTCACTGTGGTGCCAGAAAGAATACAGAATCCACCACCATCCTATACCAGCAACTATCTCAGTTGTTATTACCCATTTCGTATCTCGTGGAGGTACAGAACGATAACTCCATCTAATAAATTTACATGTTTAACATTCTTCAACTAAAAACTAAATTAAATTTGAGAGAAAAGCAATTTAAAGGGCTGAAAAAATCTGACTGAAATAAACATAATTAGAATACTTATTATTTACATTCATGCACTAAACTTAAGTATTCGAAATATTATTAATTAATGTAAAACGATAAAAACATAACCCTACTTTTAAAAAGATTATGTAATATATGTGTTAACATACTCATAATGGGATCGATTTAAATTTACTGCAACATTTTTGTGTCCTTTAAGTTGATATGCATTTTTCAAAATTCTTGCACTTCGCGATAGCAACATTTTTCACTCAACTAAAAATTCTATTCAATAATAGATCCATCCATAGGTGACCGGAAGCACCCTCTGTCAACGACAGACGGAACTTAATACTAATCGATATTTCGAGTAATCGAATCTAATTGTACGATATGTACTTCTAAAAATCGAATTTGTAGAAGCATATTTTGTGCAGTTAGTCCGACATTTTAACAGTGTTCAAATTTCTAGATTCAGACAAATAAATAAACTTATTCGTTATAATTTATGGTGTTGAGTAAAATATAACACATAAGTGAATCTTCGTTATTATTGGTGTCGTTAATCGTAAGTATTTTCTGCATTATTTTTTTAATTATTTGGTAACTTTAAGGGTTAAACAATGAGAATTTAAAATAAGCTGTTGGCACATTGCAACGTGAAAAATGTACATCTGTTTATTAATGTTTCTATTTCTATTTTGCAAAAGTATTTTAACTATTCACACAATTATTTCCTCGAGAATATAAATTACTAATTTTTAATGGAACGCTCAGTGTTTCGTATCATTAAGTATTTATTATCATAAAATATACTACCGTATATGTATTACCGTATATTTTAATGATAAACATTATTCATACTATGCTTTTACAACAAATTGTTACATAAATCATATGTTATTTTAGATGTACTTACTCGAGTAAGGGGTCCACAATTGAGCAGCTATAATTCCAACCTTCAAAATCATGCACATCAACGAACATAAGGGTAAGTTAACTTACTGATTATTTTGCATATTTCATGCTTCATTTATTTTTATAAACTTTGAATTATTGCCATAAATTAAATGAAATTCAATATATGCACCCATATGGTAATAGTTATGTTTATATAACTTTGTTGCAACAATACTTTCAACAAAACACACAGATAAATCACTTTCTATTCTGTTTTCTTTGGTTCAACGAAACTGTAAAGTCTTTTATTTTTTCGTCTAACGAACCTGCTTTCGTCCGTCATTCTTTGTGATCGCTTTTTACGAGATTAATTTAAGACAACTTAACTTTTGATGAAAGTCGTTGAAGTATATCAGCTGCGAGATGCTCGGCCATTACGTTTAGAACGAGCGGGCTTTGAAAAGTGAGGGTTGGGGTGTCCGAAGGGAGGCTCCCATTGGTCTATTGAAGGGTTTATGGTTTGCAACGAGACACCCGTTTCTCGGTAGCAACCCCTGAAGGAGAACACGCGATTGGTCCATGTATCGTAACTTCTTCCTTACATTTTATAGTAGCTCGGGACCAATATCTTTAGTCGGCAGAAAAGGGAGTCTTTAGATTGTACGTAGATTCGTTACAACGGTAGAATATTATATAAAAAATGTATGTAAATGTATTTTTTATAAATTGGAACATATACGAGTAATCCAATAAATTATATAGGTCCTGTTGTAAACATGGTGGTTTCCTCTATTTTGATTTATGTTTAGAAATGAATTTTTAATAGGTAATTGAGATTTGAAGGTACTTCTATGGTACTATTCAATTTAAATAATTTTTCTTTTATGGAGATATTGATTTTTAAGAATATTCCAGTGGGAAAGATCAACAAAATTCTACATTGATCATATTATGCTTTTGGTAGACGAATATGAGTGAGTTTCTTTTATAATACAAAAGTAAGAATGTGTGTGGCAACATTATTAATGATTTTTCGCAATTATAATGGTCAGTAACAATTAATCCTTCTTCTAAGAGATGTGAATATCAGAAAATGTTTTTAACAGCTTGGTAACTGATACATGTGAATGTAAATCAAATGAAACAAACCACAATCCGCGGATCCTCCTTTTATTCTCCTTTTTAAAATGAAATCTCGTATCTGAAATTCAAGTTGTTGCCCGCCCATGCTCGTGTTACGCGTGATACCGCATCTTGATTGTCGATTTATAATTTTAGTATCGCAATGATAGGCCGGTGTTTACAGGCCTCTGTGAGTATCCAGAATTTATTTATGATTCTCGTGGAGGGTGTTGCGGGTACATTTTACGGTACCACTTGGGAATTTTTATCTAGTCACCAGGCTGCTTTTATCATTCGAAAAACGCAACGTTCGCTGCTTTGCCTTTACTGTCCAATAAACTCGGTTGTATTGCAAATTCCTACCTTTACGGAAACTCGTTTTTTCATCATCTCTTAGAACACATGGGGAGAAAACGATATTCATCTTGGCGATCCATTTGCTGGATAGTCTATCGAGCGAAAGGAAAAGATATAGGCTTTTATCGTGTCCATTTCGAAAATTGCTATGCGTTCCTTTTCGTTTGCTTGTGGAATAATGTGGTGATTATTATAAGCGAGTTGATTATGAATGAAAAGAATAAATCTAAAATTTCTATCTAAAATGAAATCCTTTCGTGAATATTTCATTATATTATTAATGGCATTCATCGAGGAATGTGTTTATTGAAATTTATGAAGGAGAATTACATGAATTTTACTTTGAATCATTGTCTGCTGTAGCTAATCATCAATCATTTTGTATTAAGGATATCAATGAATCATTTATGTAGTCATCTTCGTCAGATTTTAACTATCGAATTGATGTAAAATAAGAGTCATTTTACAATCCCTGTATGTCATCGAACTGTGTTAGTTTATCTATGCCTTAAAAGCGTCCATTTGCCGTATCTAATCTAAAATATTCTTTTGTGAAATTTTTAAATAATCGTCTATAATACTAACATTTTAAGACATTCTTCTCATGGTTTCTCGATTAGTCATGGCACGAAATTTCAGAAAAATTAATAAGTAATATATGATCTGCCTTTTAATGGCTGACGCATGGCCAAGAATATTTTGTTGTACCACTTCTTCTCGAGCACACCCTTCGCGATAGTTTCACCCTCTTTTCGTACCGCCCCTTCTGTTCCCAATGCATGAGTTTCACGAGGTTTATACGATGGTCAGATGGTGTTACCATGGTTACTAGAGCAGCCATGTTGATCCAGAGGCGGGAGAGATGCAACCCCTCGGAGAAATTCGATAATTTCACCCTGGCCAGAAATGGCGAAACGCAATCTCACTCTCTTGCCTTATATTACACAAAATTTAGTCATTTTATTAAAATTCACACACATTTTAACATTTATAGTCATTTAGTGTCTTTGCTGCATATTTTTCTTTTATGAAGTTCGTGATTTTCTTAACAATGTTTTAATTTTCATATGTGTAGTTCTGTGAAAGCAAGTTTTATTTAAACAGTACTGATGTCATTGTTTCATTTGTGCAATTTTACTGAGGGAAGCTATGTTACTATCGTCGTAGTTATCTCACAATCATTTTTCAGAAGTACTTTTAAATATAAACCTTTTAATCACAAGAGTTTATAATCACTTTTATCCTTATCATCCAATAATCACTATTCTTTGGGAATGTCACTGATCACGTAGAAGAGAGTTTATTAAAAAAGCAAAACACAAATATTTAACACTTTTTGGACAAAAAATACCGAATGTTGCGCAACAAACTTCTGACTCGACCGCAGAATAGAAACGGACTGGTACCGAGGAGAATCGTAGACGAAAACTGAACCGAAAAAAGGTAAAAAAGGCAATAAAAGAAGGCTGAAGGAAAACCATAGCTAAAATTTGAAGATATAACACCGTGGGGATGCGTATCTGAAGAAACCGTGCCAGAGACGTGAAATTCTTTCAACGAAAGGATTCGGATGAATGGACCGTCATAGTTACCATTTTATTGCACCTATATGACGGTCAGTCTAAAATATCTTGAACGAAACGGAAGAAAAAAGAAGACGAAATAATGGAACGAACTGTTGTAAAACGTGCTCTAAAGAATAATGAGAAAAGTCTTCGCCCCGGTGGAAAATAAGAAATTTGTAACTTCTAATTAACGGTATAATTCTAATTATTAAAGATAATAAATTGGAATTGGACTTTCATTGTGATAACGTGTTAATTCACTATTATTATCGTGATTTCGCGCAACATTCGATGCATGTGTTCCATTTTGTATTTGAAGTGGTAACCAAGAGAAAATGTCCACGCAAGAACGTCATGGGACCAGTTCACCGAGAATGAACCGTTTATTACGGTCTCTCTGACACGCTAATGTCTTTAGTTTCCTTGGAAACGATCGCAGAAGCTGCTTCTTCTCTGGTAGTAATGTCCGCCAATATGTCTCTCCCTAAAAGCGTCAGGGTGCTGACCCTCCTTCTTCAGCAACCGATGAGGTAGCAGCTGCTGAATCGTCAGTTGGTTCAATCAGTTTATCCGTGGAATCGATAAAAGTAACATTCGCTGTTCTTTCGACACAGCAATCGTCTCTTAATCGTAAAATTCATCAATCGGAATCGAAATCAAACGTTCTTACAGGAAAGTTTTGAAGTGCACTCTTCAGGTTGTCGTTTTTCTTCGATAATGATCTTCAGACATTTAATTATCAGATACTTAAGATTGATATCTGTCACGTTTATAAAAACCATTGTTTTTTATTTTCGATTAAAAAATTTGAATACAACGATTAAACTCTGAAATGATGTAAAGCTATTATTTTCACACGTTATTGAACATAATTAATGAGCCGATCTGGTTTATTAAGTTTACCGATGTGTTAGAAAGAATTTTTCTAAAGTTATTTTGGTACAGAGTTTCCATCTTCCGAGGATACCGGAAGAGAGTCAAAGAGCACTATCGTTCGTAGAGTGGACTTGATATTTTCGGTTCGTAAAATTTTATGGGCGGTAATAACTGGTAGCCTTTAACAGCCTATACTTCTTTTTAGATGGTCCTGTACGACGTGCCTCAGAAGGCTTAATACTTAATGTTATTTTGTTGTAAAAAAGAATTTGTCCAAAATCTTAGTTCAGTCGTCCAAGTTTAGTATTGCATCCTTATCCTTCTATGATAACTTAACAAACATTTATTCTTTCAGAATTTACTAATTGATTAATTTTTTGAAAAAACAGTGATAACAAATATGTGTACAGGAAATAACGATTTTATTATAATTTTATTATAATTATCTTTGTATTAGATATTATCCTTCATGTTGAGTGTTAGTGAGAATAATAAGTTTATTTAATAGAAAATAGTGGAATTCATTTTTTAAA